GAATCCTAGAGTTGGAAGAGACCCTAATGGCCATCCAGTCCAACCTTCTGTGTATATGTGTGTATATATCTCTATATCATATCCCTATCCATCTATCCATCCATCTCTCCATCCATCCATACTAGAGTTGGAAGCGACCCTAATGGAAGAGTCCAACCTTCTGTGTATATGTGTGAACATCTCTATATGTAATATCTCTATCCATCTATCAATCCATCCATCCATCCATCATAGAATCCCAGAGTTGGAAGAGACCCTAATGGCCATCCAGTCCAACCTTCTGTGTATAAGTGTGTATATATCTCTATATCATATCCCTATCCATCTATCCATCTATCCATCCATCCATTCATCATAGAATCCCAGAGTTGGAAGAGACTCTAATGACTATGCAGTCCAACCTTCTGTGTATATGTGTGTGTTTATCACTATATCATATCTCTATCAATTTACCCATCCATCCATCCATCCATCCATCCATCCATCCATCCATCCATCCATCTATCTATCTATCTATCCATCCATCCATTGACCCATCCATCCATCCATCCATCCATCCATCTATCCATTCATCTATCCATCCATGTTTCCATCCATCCATCCATCCATCCATCCATCCATCCATCCATCCATCCACCCATCCATCCATCATAGAATCCCAGAGTTGAAAGAGACCCTAATGGCTATCCAGTCCAACCTTCTGTGCATATATGTGTATATATCACTATATCATGTCCTCATCCGTCCGTCCATCAATCATAGAATCCTAGAGTGGGAAGACTCCAAAAAAAGTGCCCATTGCACATCTCAGAGCTTGGAAACATGACTTCATTTGGACTACAACACCCATCACTTCCATTCTATAGGATATTGTTGCAAATGTTTATTTTTGCTCTTTTGAGAGCATGATTTAAAAACCAACATATTTTATGGGGGAGTAGATATTTTTTGGGCAAGCGAAATAGCACTTGTGAAGATCTACTCTATTTTGTGCATGGGCATATCTTTGTTCCTAACAGTTCAGAGAGATAACCAGGTATATCAGTCTAACAACCGAGAAACCTAATTTGTCTTGCATGAATACTAGTGGATATTGACCACTAAGGAGAAAATTCACTCAAACGAGTACATAACTCTTACAAAAGGGTTATGATTATTCCAAATACTGTGAGTGCCAATCAAAAGGGTCACACATCCAAAAGGATACGGGGATTCCTAGTTTCCCAAAAGGTTATGGCCTCTAAATGCCATTCCAAAAAATTTAAGGTGTAATGGTTTTAAAAAGTAACTTTTCCAAACTCATAGCTGCTCTCTAAGTAAATATCGAAGCCTTTCTCTGTCTAGATGGCACATTGGCTTGCCTAATCTTGCAGGGAACGGAAGTGATGCATTTGGCCCCTTCTCCCCAGGCATAGAAACCAGACTCTGGTTAGATGGTGCCCAGCCTCCAGAAAGGGTGAGTTGTCACACTAATGCCTTCACCTTTTTCCACCCACGCAAAGACCAAGAGAGAAAAGGTGGGGCCCTTGCACTGGATGATTCACACCTCTCCAATGCGACAACACACACCGGAGAAACCAGAGCAATTGCAAAGCACTTGGAGAGTCAATAGACTGGGAGAGAAGGAAGGAAGGAAGGAAGGAAGGAAGGAAGGAAGGAAGGAAGGAAGGAAGGAAGGAAGGAAGGAAGGAAGGAAGGAGAGGATGGGAATTAGGAAAAGGAAGTGATCAGGGTTCATCATGGAATCCTAGAGTTCGAAAGGACACCCAAAGGTCATCCAGTTCCACCCCATTCTGCTAGGCAGAAAGACATCGTCTGATCCCTCCCGACAGATGGCCATCCAGGAGAGGATGGGAATTAGGAAAAGGAAGTAATCAGGGTTCATTATGGAATCCTAGAGTTCGAAAGGACCCCAAAGGTCATCCAGTTCAACCCCATTCTGCTAGGCAGAAAGACACCATCTGATCCCTCCCGACAGATGGCCATCCATGGAAGGAAGGAGAGGATGGGAATTAGGAAAAGGAAGTGATCAGGGTTCATCATGGAATCCTAGAGTCGGAAAGGCCCAAAGGTCATCCAGTTCAACCCCATTCTGCTAGGCAGAAAGACACCATCTGATCCCTCCCGACAGATGGCCATCCATGGAAGGAAGGAGAGGATGGGAATTAGGAAAAGGAAGTAATCAGGGTTCATCATGGAATCCTAGAGCCAGAAAGGACACCCAAAGGTCATCCAGTTCAACCCCATTCTGCTAGGCAGAAACACGTCATCTGATCCCTCCCGACAGATGGCCATCCATGGAAGGAAGGAGAGGATGGGAATTAGGAAAAGGAAGTAATCAGGGTTCATCATGGAATCCTAGAAGGGTTCATCATGGAATCCTAGAGTCGGAAAAGACGCCCAAAGGTCCAGTTCAACCCCATTCTCCTAGGCAGAAAGACACCGTCTGATCCCTCCCGACAGATGGCCATCCAGGAGAGGATGGGAATTAGGAAAAGGAAGTAATCAGGGTTCATTATGGAATCCTACAGTTCGAAAAGACGCCCAAAGGTCATCCAGTTCAACCCCATTCTGCTAGGCAGAAAGACACCGTCTGATCCCTCCCGAAAGACGGCCATCCAGGAGAGGATGGGAATTAGGAAAAGGAAGTAATCAGGGTTCATTATGGAATCCTACAGTTCGAAAAGACGCCCAAAGGTCATCCAGTTCAACCCCATTCTGCTAGGCAGAAAGACACCGTCTGATCCCTCCCGAAAGACGGCCATCCAGGAGAGGATGGGAATTAGGAAAAGGAAGTAATCAGGGTTCATCATGGAATCCTAGAGTTCAAAAGGACCCCAAAGGTCATCCAGTTCAACCCCATTCTGCTAGGCAGAAAGAGACCATCCGATCCCTCCCGACAGATGGCCATCCATGGAAGGAAGGAGAGGATGGGAATTAGGAAAAGTAAGTGATCAGGGTTCATTGTAGAATCCTAGAGTCGGAAAGGACCCCAAAGGTCATCCAGTTCAACCCCATTCTGCTAGGCAGAAAGACGTCATCTGATCCCTCCCGACAGATGGCCATCCATGGAAGGAAGGAGAGGATGGGAATTAGGAAAAGGAAGTGATCAGGGTTCATCATGGAATCCTAGAGTCGGAAAGGACCCCAAAGGTCATCCAGTTCAACCCCATTCTGCTAGGCAGAAAGACACCATCTGATCCCTCCCGACAGATGACCATCCACCCTCTCCAGAGAATGAGGCTCCACCATAGAAAGGACTGATGATTGTTTGGGACCTTCCACACTTAGGCTGGGAGTAATGGGACATGGAATCACAACTGGAGCTTTCCTAACCGAAGCTGGAGAATTATTACACTATGCAACAAATTTGAGTGTGTGTGTGTGTGTGTGCATATCTATATCTATATAAATAAAAATGTAATATTCATTTGTGGGATTGACATAACTCAAAAACCACTGGGTGAATTGAGACCAAACTTGACCGCAAGACACCTAACAGTCCAACGAGTGACCATCACTCATAAAAACACTGAAAAACACAGCAGAAGATACTTGAAAAGCAAAAAAATGCATTACAATGCATGCACAAAATTACATATATATATACAAACACACGTATATACACATATACATGTGTATATACACATATATACACACACAAAACACATATACACAGACTGGGCCACAGCAATGCGTGGCAGGGGACGGCTAGTGTGTGTGTGTGTGTGTGTGTATAAAAGAAAATGCTCTGTTCCTAGTTTGAAAGTATTTTTTCCTGTTTAATTGTGCATTCCTTACTTTGAAACTAGATGTTCTACTCCAGGAACTTCCCTTTTGTAGCTGCCACAAACTATGTTAAATTAGTTGAGACTCAATGATATTGCAGGATGTCCCTCCCACAAAAACAAAGTTTCTGCAGTTTAATATACTTTCCCCATGTTCAATGTATTGTCGAAAGCTTTCATGGCCGGAAGCACTGGGTTGTTGTGAGTTTTCCAGGCTGTCTGGCCATGTTCCAGAAGCATTCTCTCCTGACGTTTCGCCTACATCTATGGCAGGCATCGTCAGAGGTTGTGAGTATTTAATCATCTGGTTTTTATGTATTTATTGGTTTGCTCTGTACATGAAAGACCTGTGACCTAAGCCAGGTAGGAGCAAACTTTGGGCCTCCAGGTGTTATTAATTGTGGGAATTGAAGTCCAAAACACCTGAAGGGCCAAAGTTGGCCCGTACCTGCTCTAGCTCCTCTTCAGCTTCTTGAAGCAGCACTCTGACAATGCTCAGAGGCAAATTAAATTTTCATTTGCTTGCTTTCCCCAACCCAAGATACCCAGCAATAGTGGCATTGTCAGCTTTTAGCCCTCTTTGTCCACTGTAACCTTTCCTTTTGCCTTGACTCCAAAGCTCCTTGGGTCAGCAGAATGACTCTGCACATGGTCAGAGGCACTGCAAGACCATAGACTGCATTGTGGCATGCAGCAGAGGTCCTAATGAGAGTTTTAGCCAGCTCACTTGTCACCACCAAGGAACCTTATCAACCAAAGTAATATTTCCTTGCTTATTATTGCCTTGAATGCAAAGCTCCTTGGATCAGCGGAATGACTCTGCACGTGCTCAGAGGCACTGCAAGACCATAGATTGCATTGTGGCATGCAGCAGAGTCCTAATGAGAGTTTTAGCCAGCTCACTTGTCGCCACCAAACAGTCTTATCAACCAAAGTAATATTTCCTTGCTTATTATTGCCTTGATTGCAAAATTCATTGGGTCAGCAGAATGACTCTGCACATGCTCAGAGGCACTGCAAGGCCATAGATTGCATGGTGGCACGCAGAACAGGTCCTAATGAGAGTTTGCCACCACCAAAGAATGACTCATACCTGGTCTAAGTGCTGAATAAACTAAAACCATCTTACCCCCGTTCTTAACTAGGAGTCGGATGTTTGCAACTCGAGGATGGCCTGTAATACGTTTTCGGAGCGGAGTGCGCAGAACTTACCGTGAGCGGCAAAGAGCAGATGACGAAGATGACGGTCATGAGCGCCAGCAAGATGAGGTGGTCCACCTCCTCCTCCCCACGGCTGAACCAGCTCTTGCGCCGGCGTTGTGCCACATTTACGGAGCCACGCCGGCGAGCCTTCTGCTTGCGGTACATCTGGCAGAGGCTGGTGATGACCAAGGCGTTGCAGAGGAAGATGACCAAGATGAGGATGGCCATGAGGGTGGCGTAGGAGAGCGAGAAGGCCGCGTGGCCCGTGGCCTTGTCCACGTCCATTTGGACGAAGCACCAGGTCCCTGGGCAATATTGCTTGTACTTCCCGACTCCTAGGAAAGGCAGGCTGCAGAAGAAGGCACTGAAGGCGTAGATAGCCGGTAGCGAGAGCTTCATCCAGCGCCTTATATTGTGCTGGGAGTAGAAGTAGGGGTAGCTGAGGGCCAGGCAGCGCTCCACCGCCATTGCGCATAGGATGAGCATCGCTGCCTGGCTGAAGTACATCATGGAGAAGGCAAAGAGGTCACACAACCAGCTGCCGCGTGCCACCATGCCCACCAAAGTGGCGTTGCGGGAGTAGGCGACGAAGACGATGGGGCTGACCACGCATGTGCCTAGTAGATCGGTGACGGCGAGGCCAGTGACCAGGATACAGAAAGAGGAAGTCTTGGTGCGCAGCTCCTTGCGGTGGATGCCCAGGATGGCCAAGGCGGCCACATTGCCCACCACGCCGGCCGCAAACATAAAAGAGCTCACCACTGGGTTGCCGTCCTGGTGCAGCTGGGTCATGTTGCTGCAGTCCTTGGACAGCGAGGGCGAGATGGGCGCCGTTGTGAGGGCCTGAGCGGGGTCCAGAGGGTGCATTGGCACAAAGGAGGGTGAAGGGTCAACGCTTTGGTCCTTGGGCAGCCGATAATAAAGAGACGGCAAGGAAAAAGGACTGGGAGCCAGGTTCCTCTCTTTGGCACAATGGAGAGGCCTGGAAGCAACTCCGGAAACAGATCACCGAGGACTAGTAACTTAGCTCTGTTCACTGATGCCACAATGGAGAGACCTGGAAGCAGCTCCGGAAACAGTTCACTGAGGACTAGTAACTTAGCTCTGTTCACTGATGCCACAACGGAGAGGCCTGGAAGCAGCTCTGGAAACAGATAACTGAGGACTAGTAACTTAACTCTGTTCACTGATGCCACAATGGAGAGGCCTGGAAGCAGCTCTGGAAATAGTTCACTGAGGACTAGTAACTTAGCTCTGTTCACTGATGCCACAACAGAGAAGCCTGGAAGCAGCTCCGGAAACAGATCACTGAGGACTAGTAACTTAACTCTGTTCACTGATGCCACAACAGAGAAGCCTGGAAGCAGCTCCGGAAACAGTTCACTGAGGACTAGTAACTTAGCTCTGTTCACTGATGCCACAACAGAGAAGCCTGGAAGCAGCTCCGGAAACAGTTCACTGAGGACTAGTAACTTAGAACTGAAAATCTCAACTTGGAAAGGAACTAATCCAGCTGGGGATACGATGGCAACTTCTTGCCAAGTTACATTTGTAATCCTAAATTGCTTTCCTTTTGTGCTGACCGTTGAGGTGCTTCTTCCAAGGAAGAAGGTGTCCAGGCCCCTAAAAAACAACACTGAGGACTAGCAACTTAGCATTTTAAAAAATCTCAACTCAGAAAGAAATCAATCCAGCTGGGATACAATGGCAACTCCTGGCCAAGTTACATTTGTGATGCTAAGTTACCTTTTCTTTGTGCTGATCTTTGTGCTTCTTCTTCCAAGGAAGAATGCATCCAGTCCCTGAAAGAACAACGCTGAGGACTAGCAACTTAGAATTAAAAATCGAGACTTGGGAAGGAGTTGCTCCAATTGCAATAGGATGAAGAACCAAGAGCCTTCTAACTTTTGAGCATCCTCTTCCAAAGGGGAAGGTGTCCAGGCCCCTAAAGAACAACACTGAGGACTAGCGACTTAGAATTAAAAATCTAAGCTTAGGAAGGAGATGCTCCGACTGGGATAGGATAAAAAAAGCAAAGGCCTTCTAACCTTTGAGCTTCTTCTTCCAAGGAGGAAGATGTCCAGGCACCAACAACACTGAGGACTAGCAACTAGAATTAAGGCTCCTAAATAACAACACTGAGGACTAGCAACTTATAATTTAAAAAACTCAGCTTGGGAAGGAGTCGCTCCGATTGCAATCAGATGAAGAACCAAAAACCTTCTAACCTTTGAGCATCCTCTTCCAAAGGGGAACGTGTCCAAGTCTCCTAAAGAACAACGCTGAGGACTAGCGACTTAGAATTCAAAATCTAAGCTTGGGAAGGTGATGCTCTGACTGGGATAGGATAAAAAAGCAAAGGCCTCCTAACCTTTGAGCTTCTTCTTCCAAGGAGGAAGGTGTCCAGGCACCAACAACAGTGAGGACTAGCAACTTAGAATTAAAAAAGCTCAGCTTGGGAAGGAGTCACTCCAATTGCAATCAGATGAAGAACCAAAAACCTTCTAACCTTTGAGCATCCTCTTCCAAAGGGGAAGGTGTCCAGGCCCCTAACGAACAACACTGAGGACTAGCAACTTAGAATTAAAAATCAAAGTTTGGGAAGGAGATGCTCCGACTGGGATAGGATAAAAAAAACAAAGGCCTTCTAACCTTTGAGCTACTTCTTCCAAGGAGGAAGGTGTCCAGGCACCAACAGCACTGAGGACTAGCAACTTAGAATTAAGGCTCCTAAAGAACAACACTGAGGACTAGCAACTTGGAATTAAAAATTGAGGCTTGGGAAGGAGTTGCTCCAATTGCAATAGGATGAAGAACCAAAAGCCTTCTAACCTTTGAGCATCCTCTTCCAAAGGGGAATGTGTCCAGGCCCCTAAAGAACAACACTGAGGACTAGCAACTTAGAATTAGTTGCTCCAACTGGGTAAGATAAAGAAGCCAAGGCCTTCTAACCTTTGGGTTTCTTCTTCCAAGGAGGAAGATGTCCAGGCACCAACAACACTAAGGACTAGCAACTTAGAATTAAGGCTCCTAAAGAACAACACTGAGGACCAGCAACTTAGAATTAAAAATCAAAGTTTGGGAAGTTGCTCCAACTGGGTAAGATAAAGAACCAAAAGCCTTCTAACCTTTGAGCATCCTCTTCCAAAGGGGAACGTGTCCAGGCTCCTAAAGAACAACGCTGAGGACTAGCAACTTAGAATATATCTCAACTTTGGAAGAAATCACTCCAATTGGGATAGGATGAAGAAGCAAAGGCCTTCTAACCTTTGGGCTTCTGCTTCCAGCTCTTCACCAATCCAGGCTTGTCATCAATTCCCAAAAGTTGCCAAATCCATCAAAAGGGAGACCAAGGCTTGTCCTTTCCCGACGGCACAATGGAGAGCCTTGGAAGTATCCGGCACCTAACGAACAACGCTGAGGACTAGCAACTTTAGAATTTACAAATTGGCAAGGAGTTGATCCAGTTGATGGAGGTACAAAAAAACCTTCTCCCGAATCCAAAAGCACAGCAGAACTCGGCCCAGACGCCTGTCCCTTTGTGGCCAGGAATTTCCAGATGTTGCCACCACCTCCAGCCGAAGAGAGACCTGTCTTGTCCTGGCTGCTTTTTTCCTCTTAGGTGAGGCTGAGCATGTGAGCTGTCAGGAGCACCCAGGCAGCCCTTTTCAACTCGGAGAGGCGGGTCCAAAGGACGATGGGCCAGGCCAGGGGTGGGACTTGGCACATGCACCCATCTAGAACCAGCCTCACAGATGTCAACGCCGCTGTTTCCCTTTTTTATTTTTCTTTCTTTCTCTCAGCCAGACTCCCACGCTCTTTCCTTTCCTCACTCTCCAAAAATACTTGCAGGCCAGACAAGAAAGCAGGGCCAAGGAGCATCTGGTTGGGGGATTCTGGGCTTGGTAGTCTGACTTTCCCATGCTCTGACTCACTCCTTACGCAGTCCCTCCGATGCTCACCAGACCCAATGCACACAAGGTGCATCATGCTTTGGCTGATGTCAGCGTTGCGGTGTTGCAATCCATCTTAGCAGTTCCCCAAAGAGAAGGACGAGGAAACCCTTGCTTGGCTCATGCTCAGCGTTGGGAAACGTAGCGCCGGATGAGTAAGAGGGCCAAAGGTTGCCCCTTTGGGAGAGTGATGACAAGCAACAACACAAAGCTGTCTTTGGGTACATCTACACCAGGCATGAGCAAACTTGGGCCCTCCAGGTGTTTTGGACTCCAACTCCCACAATTCCTAACAGCCGGTAGGCTGTTAGGAATTGTGGGAGTTGGAGTCCAAAACACCTGGAGGGCCCAAGTTTGCCCATGCCTGATCTACACTGTTGTTATTGTTATTCCACTATGTTTTTGTTTTTGCAGCAGGGATATCCTACAGCGCATTTTGCCCTAGTTTTTCAATGGGTTGAATCGCTGAGCTGCTGAACTTGCTGACCGAAAGATCGGCAGTTCGAATCTGGGGTGTTGGGTGAGTTCCTGCTGTTAGCCGCATCTTCTGCCAACCCACCAGTTCGAAAACATGCAAATATGAGTAGGTCAATAGGTACCACTCCGGCAGGAACGTAATGGCGTTCCATGGAGTCATACTGGCCACATGACCT